CCCCAAAACCCCAAAACCCCAAAACCCCGTCTATACTGTAAAATGCAAATTGTAACTCAAATCTAATGAAATAATCATATATTCTAATTAATCTCATAATTATTACTTTAGGTAGTCTTGTACTAATATATATCATATCAGCGATTGAAGCAGCTACTACTCTTACCGTCCCAATGACTCTTGATACCTATTTACACCTCTAGACTTCTATTGATTCTAATAGTTGTTTCGAGTTAATTAGCTTTAATTCCCTGTGCTTAGTTAAAGCTTGTGGCGATGATGATTGTTGTTAAGATTGCTATTTATATTGTGATTGCTCTTTTGATAGTAATGCTAGTGCAAACTCCCTTATGATCCACTTTCTCCTTACTATTAGAGATAACTGTCAACCAAGCCTTTACTCTGATTTTAAGGGAACTAGCTAAAGTACTTAGCCTCAAGAGAAGCTATTTTCTAAATGCTTTTAGGAAGTCTTAGTTGAATCGTAGAGCCAATACTTCTTAGCAAGCTACCACTAGATGCAGTACCAGGCATAGGTCCAATCTAATTTGTACCTATAGCCGTATTTATTGACTTGCTTAATGTAGAAGGCGAGTTACTTTTCTGAATTCTAAAATTTGCATCATCAATGAACAAGCTTTTGATATGCTATGAAAACTGCTTTGGACTCTGAAGTACGTCAGGAAGTCTGACACTGCCTGTATTGCTTCTATGAGAGTTTAAGTTCTCAGAACTCCCTCCTTGCATCTTTGAAGAACTGAAAATTGGACTCTTGCTTTTCATTTAGAGTGTTTCAAAAGATCTCTTGATCAGTTCTTTCTTGAACTTGGCATTCTCCCGCATTTATCTTTTGTAGTTTTCAATTTCTTCCTTTTCCTTCCTCATTCTCTCCCTGAGTTCCTTTTCTTCTTCGATTTCCTTTACTCTTTTCTCTCTTTCATACTCGGCTATCTTTTCCTTCCTCTTTACAGAATCCTCCTTTTCCTTTCTTTTTAGCTTTTCATACTCAATCCTTAATCTCTGATCAGATTTGAATTTCATTCTGAAATCATCAACCTTACTATCCTGGTTGTCAATTCTGAGCTTCAATTCCTATTTTTTGCTTTTCTCTAGTTCTTAATTCTTTTGCTATATAGTCTATCTATAATAATTCCGTTGTGATTCGAATTCCTTTCTTTTTTGCATTTCCTAAAGCCTGATGCTATGCTAATCTCTTAGCTTAACCTCTTATTCCTCAATTATCTTCATAATTTTATCTTTTTAATCTTATTCTTGTTACTTAACGTGAGCAAGAATTGAGTCTCTAATAGCGTTTTTGTACTTGACATACTCTAATCTTTTTCCTTTAAAGTCCTCTCGTTCTTTATCAAGTTCGACTCCTCTTTGATCTATTTCTTTAATCTTGTCTAAGTAAAGTTAAGTTAGTTTCATGATTTCATCATGTCTTATTTGTTTAGCCTGCAAAAGCTTTTCCTTGTTGATCTCCTTTTTCTGATCTATTTCCTAGGTGAGAGTATTTTACTTATCTATAACAAGTTAAGCCTTTTCAGCTTGCAATTACTCTAACTGTATCCTCTTTTATTCTATTTTTTATTCCTGCTCCTTGAGTATTAACTTAATTTTGTCCTTGAAATCTTTATGTTTTTGCCGTACATTTGCTTCTAATAACTATTTTTTACGTTCTTTTGCTTTAATGATGGATAGGTACTCCTCCTCATTTTGCTACTCTTGCTATTGTCTCTTTGACTTTTCATGTCTAGACTAGAGGTCATGTTTAAGTTATCTATTTTGCTACTTATAGAATTCTTGTTTATTAAGATAGTCATACTTTTTCAAAGAACTTTATTGTTTACTCATTCTTTCTTGCTATATTTGCTATCTATATTCCTCTTCCATTTCTTGTCTTCTTACCTTATCATCTATTCTTTCAGCTACATACTTCAAATAGTTTTCTATTTCACTATTCTAATTAACCTGCTAATTTTATATTTCCATTTTGCTTTTCTCCAATAAAACCATTTCAGGGTCAACTCTAATGTCTTTCTATTTTTTCTTTTCTTTTTCATTGAAAATATCGCGGACACTAAAACTGACTACAGCTTTATCTCCATCACGACAGTTACTTCTGGCACTCTCGCGCTTGCTATTGTACTAATGGATTTTATCAATTTTATTGGCTTTTATCTTAGCCCATTCCTGATTTGCCAATCACAGTTTTTCCTTGCGCTGAGACTCAGCGAATTTATATCTCATCTAAATTATCTCCTCCTCTACATTATCAAGGGAATGCTTGCCCATCAGTCTCATTTCACGCTCTCTGAATTCTCTATCAATAAGAAAAACTAATTCATCAGCAGTATAGCCTAGTCTCTTAACTGCCTCTAGGGATCAAGGTGTGTTTACTTTAAATCTCTGTCGCTCAAGCGTATCATACTTCGCAAAATTTACTTTCATTTTTAGTTTACTCTATTTATAATTATCCATTGGCATTCGCATCTATAATATTCTCCATTATACTCATCATGGGGTTTTGGGGTTTTGGGGTTTTGGGG